TGCCCAGTGACTGCGTAGATTCCGCTTGCTCTCGAAGTACTTCTAACAGAAATTTTATGTGTTTACATCATAATGGATTGCTAGCAAAGTGAAAGATTTGTACAGCTTATTCCTAACTTTAAGATTTCGCTGAAACTTCTACCGGATCGTACCGATCACGAATATCATCCACCACATACGATCATACTGAGGGGCTGATGAGAAATTGCTATAACTCGGAGAATGTCATTTTTGAAATTACCATGATTCTTCATGGTGTAGGGCGGAAAGCGACAAAATTCGAGAAACGCTCGTATAGATTTACGTCGTTCTGCTCAACTATCTCGGCGCTTTTCGCCTAAGCATAATAAAGGGAGGCTTAGCTTATGGCACAAAAAGAAACGCTGCGAAGGAAGTTGAAGTGTCAAAGATATGCGAACGTGACTCGATTTGGTTACATTGTGCGTGCTTCCCCTTCTTCACTATGGCGCTGACTAAAAAAGACTTGAGAAATGCGTATATAAAAACAATGATCATAAAAACGATCACGAATCTCAGATTTCCGCTTTAGAACTAAAGTCAAATAGAACTGAAATCAAACAACAGACAACATGGCAAAGCGCCAGCGTGGCGGATTCAGCAGGTAGTACCATAACGATGGTGTGACTGTAGGATTTTCGAAAGTTACAGATTCCGAGTTATAGTGGTTTCTGGGCTGATGTAGGCGGATGATGCGGATACAAAAACACCAGCTGTCTGAAAAACGGCCTAATGGACTATAATGTATCTGATCACAATCTACCCAATCTGCTCAAAGGCCTTAACATAAAATTACGGTAGGCAGTCAACGCTAGTTGAAATTATATGGCTGAAAGTACAAATATGGAGATGCTATACTAACTGAGGAGATACGATGCCGACAATCATATTCATTTGGCACCGTATCTAATCATCTGTTCATGTAATGAGCAACTGAATTTTTTTATTTTTTCACAAAGTTAGCAAAAAGGTTCTCTTATAAATTAAAAACATCACATGGGCTTCCGAGAGGGTAAATCGATCTCCCCTTTTATGCCAATTAAAGGAAGAAGGCAAAGAGGCTATATAATCCCATAGTTATGCCTCCCCATAGCAATACGAAATGATTAACC